AACCTAAATAGAAATTGAGCCTCCGTTGACTAACATGATGGATTCTTACAAAACCTAACAGTAGTGTTAATCCCTCAATTAGCTAGCACCCCATTATTGCGACACTCGGCAGCCATCTTAACTGCGGCAGCCATAACTGCGGCCACGTGCGGCTGTATTGATTGCCTCTGGTTGCCAGGGGCAACGCTGTTCAATCAATACCTCCGCTTCGCGTCGCTAGGCGATCGCGTCGCGTCGGGGATGGGGGAAGCCTTGTAACAGGGTCGTTACACATGTACAAGATGCTTGCTTAGAAAATAAGGGAAGTTTGTCCGTCCAACTATTGGATCTGCTATCGCGAAAAGACCTTTGGAAATAGTAGCCATGGATTTCACAGTTTTGGAGCCTGGTACAAGAAACATTAAAAATGTATTGGTAGTCACGGACGTATACACCATGTTCACTCAGGCGTTTCCAACAAAAGACCAGACAGCTTCAAATGTGGCGAGAATTCTGTTCAAGGAGTGGTTCCTGAAATATGGTGTTTCTAAGCGACTTTATAGTGACCAAGGTCGCAATTTTGAAGGGAAAGTGATTGAGGCGTTATGTAGACTATATGGTAGTGTGAAAACTAGTACTGCCCCTTATCACGCACAAGGAAATGGTAACTGTGAACGATTTAATCGTACGATGCATAATCTGCTCAGGACACTGTCAGTGTCACCGGAAAAGAAGAAGAAATGGCCAGAGTTGCTACCAGAACTTATTTACGCTTACAATTGTCCACCACACTCAACTACCGGATATTCCCTTCACTATCTCTTCTTTGGCCGTGAACCGAGACTACCTGTGGACTCCTTTCTAGCTAACGCAGACAAAAGCATAGAAGAAGACTGGGTCGTTGATCATCACAAGCGATTAACGGATGCATTTCACACAGTTAGTACAAGGACAGAGCAGGCCGCGTTAAAGAGACAGCAACGTGTTAATTCGAAGTCAAACGATCAACCACTTATTGTAGGTGCCAGAGTGTTTGCGAGAAATTACTTTAGGTCACGTCATAAGATCCAGAACATATGGAATCCTATCCCATACAAGATTGTCGAAATACTTGACAATAATGTATACATAATTGAATCTTTGGAGGACAATGGACATAAAAGAGTGCACCGTTCAGAGTTAGTGGATACTAGAATGTTAGCGGATGATGTACAACCAGCCGTGGTGAATAACGGTCATGTATTAGAGTCCTCGGAGGAACTAGATAGTCGTAAAGATAGTGATCTTGACCCTGAGTGGATAGAATTGCGTGCATTAGATACTAAGGAGAATTTACCTCCAGATACAGCTTTGGAACCGAGAGCAAAAGACACTACGGAGTTGTCTTCCGATACTGTTCCGGAACTGGGTGCAGGGAACACTACGGAGGAATTGCCTCCTGATACAGCGTCAGAACTTAGTGCAGAGGAAGCTTCAGAATTAAGTGTAGAGGATATCCAGGAGGATTGGCCTCTCAAAGCAGCCTTGGAGAATGAAGAACATAAAGGAGATCATGATGCACAGTCCGGGTGTGAATATGTCACCGCGACGCGTAAATCTAGGCGTTCTACAGCCGGATCATACTCGAATGTGCCTACATACCGGTGTCTGCAGTTAACCAGGACGTAGTGAGTTTTGCAGATGCACGGGTTCTAGCAAACATCAGTGAGACTCAACT